GCAAATGAAACTGGAATCTGTGTGATCCCGAATTTGCTTGCACAACATGAGTAACAACTCGAGTCGATCCACGAAGAATGCTCGATTGCCTACATAGTGCACTTTTTTTACACTGCCTCCTCGTCAAAATCCAACTCAAACACTTGTACAATGTCAGCCATCAAATTGCAAAACCTGGAGTTTTAATCGCATAAATAAATTGTGAGACTATTGTGTCTTTGCATTAGCCAAAATTGAGAAAAGAAACATTTGGAGTCCGAGACATTATAGGAATCATTATAGCTAACGGGACAAACATGGAGCCTGGAGGCTTTACACAAGTTCAACTGAATAACCCATTAATATGAGTGATATGAAAGATAAAAGCAACATTTCATCTATCTGCTAACAAACGATTTGTACTCTAATTGTTGCTTTATGTTAAATTGATCCTCTTGACCTCTTTTTTCAATTTCCGAAGGCACGAGTGATCCTTCAAGAAGGCAAAAACAGGAACCAGGGTCTTATTTTAGTCGGAAGCATCCGTACAAGCGGCAGTAGACAAGTCGTTGGCCCATGCGGGTTCTTCATAATAATTATGACATTCCTTTAGATATCGCTCTTAATACATGACCATTCAAATCATGTTTCAATCACATTTGAAAACGATTTGTCAACCTTATTATGACCGTCCCTCATTGATTGTCCGTGAATTTCATTATCAAGATTAGGGGTGGGTAATGGGCGGGTTGCGCGGATTTTGGTCTAAAATTGACCCACCCGTTTACTAGCGGGTTGGAATATATGTGACCCGCAATCCACCAACATACTTATGCGGGTTGGGTTGGGTGGGTGGGGAATGGGTGCGGTTGGGTCGCGGGTTAACCCGCAAAAATAATTCTCCAACTAGCAATTAAGAAAATTGACTAACATTTATAATAACTTCATAGCAAATTAGTAAGATTGTATCAATAATTTATGATTTTTATATAATTAATAATTTATAGTTTGTATCCCAATATTTAATGGATATTAACAATAATTTGCATACCAGTATCCAATATTCAGTGGATATTGCACAACACAATAAGCAATAATAGTAGTCAAAACTATTCTTTATTCTTCACCTTTTGAAGTATATGGTCAGACTCTAGTGCAATTCGAAAATATGATGAATATTTGATACTATAAGAAACAACATTTTTCCATGTAAAAATAGGACGCGGCTCATACGGGTGACCCGCAATCCACCCACCATCCACCCACATAAGTACAAGTGGGAGATTTAACAATCCGCAATCCACCCACATCAATCACCCATTACATGCGGATCGGTTTATTTGTGGGCGGATCGATATCAATACGCGGATTAACCACCCATGTGCCCACCCCTAATCAAGATATGACGCGACTTATGCATATATTACCCAAGTATAACTACATTGTAAATTAGAAAAATGAATTATTTTGGTTAGGGGCAATGAGGAGAAGGGGGAAATAAGGAGAGTTCATCCATTATTGTAAATTTGATTAAACCCAAAAATTTGCATAATAAACTATATTATATATATTCAAGAATTATATAGAGTTAAAATGCATTTATTTTCATAGGAAAAAGAAATTAAGAAACAAGGCATTATACATTTTACCAAACCATCTCATAGTGTGATCTTTATTCTCATCATTATTATTTATCATCATCTAGATAGGGTGAGTATCAAACTGAATGTGGACATTTGTCCTAATAGTGGAATCTTGAGATTGCACAAGTGGAGAGAGACCAAGAACAAAAGAAAACAACATGAACCACTCATTTGAAAGGCAGCCAAATCCATTCTAACCAGGACCAGCCTCTCCCTCTCATTTTTTCCAACCCCTCAAAAACCCAAAACTATTATATTTTTCAATCTCTCTGAAAACCAAAAAAGAATCTGATGTGCATACTCTCAACCTTATTTCTCTCTTCCATGACCACCAACACTCCCTTTCTTCCCTTCTCTCCTCCAAATTCCTCCATGGCCAACAACCTTCAATAGCATGCCTCCAGTTCCATAATCTGACCTTGCTTTCTCTTTCCATATATTCTCTGGTTTTTCTTAGCTTCTGCAGGCAGACCATGACTTCTTCCTCCTACTGCTTGTCTTCTACAAGGAACATTGTCACTCCAAGGGGTGCACATTTCTTTCACAGCAGCTGCAATTCACATCCATCTTTGCCAAGAAGCCACTTCCCTTCACTCCCAAATGATACCACTCTCCCCAAGAGAGAAACCCTTCTTAAGTCAAAGCCTTACCAGTTTCAGCCCATTTTCAGGCTCAAAAGCTCCAAACTTCACCACCCTTTCGCCAGCATATCTTCTTTTGCTGGAGCTGGTGGGGAAGAAGAGCACCACCACAAAGAAGGGATTCAAAACAAACAAAGTGATGGTGGTGAAGATGACACGTCTGGAATGGCTCAGGCTTTCCACATATCTTCAAAAACAGCTTTTGGCATATCAGTGTTCATGGCTTTTGCTGCTCTTAGCCTGCCCTTGTTCATGAAGTCACTAGGGCAAGGCCTGAGCTTGAAGATCAAGGCTTTGTCTTATGTAACTTTGCTTTTTGGGTTCTACATGGCTTGGAATATTGGGGCCAATGATGTGGCTAATGCCATGGGCACTTCTGTGGGTTCTGGAGCTTTGACCTTGAGGCAGGCTGTGTTGACTGCTGGTGTTTTGGAGTTCTCTGGTGCTTTGTTGATGGGAACCCATGTCACCAGTACAATGCAGAAAGGGATCCTAGTGGCTAATGTGTTTCAAGGGAAGGATTCTCTGCTCTTTGCTGGCTTGCTTTCTTCTTTGGCTGCTGCTGGTACTTGGTTGCAGGTAAACCATTTCTTTTCCTTCGGTTTTTCTCATTTAGCATCACTCTGTAGTTCATTGCTTCTTAGTTTTCTGAATCTTTGGTTTGGTGCAACAACCTTGTTCATGGATTTTGGTTCTTCGTTTTTTTTGTTCAACTAGTAAAGATTAACTTCCTTAGTATATCCCTCTTAGAATCTTACATCTGAACCTCCAATTGATGAAATGAGATACCCTATTCCAGACGAAAAGAGTGAACTATTACAAAGAAACTTGTTGCCTTAGTCCTTACTATATTCATTCTCTAGCTTTGCTCAACAAATATATAAATACATATTTTATGGGTAGCCAAAAATGATTGGTAAGAACAAAGATATCAGAGGCCAGAGTTATCAGAAAGGCCACAACATGAAGAAAGATAATGCCTATAGTTAGCAAATTCTGAGCATTGTTCTTCTCGGTTATGTATGTTGACAAACTAATATTGCTTCGAGTTTTATAGCCGAGTTGTTCAATCAGCCTTCCGTTCAAGTTTCCCTTCTTTTTTCCAGGTTGCCTCTTACTATGGCTGGCCAGTTTCAACTACACACTGCATCATTGGAGCAATGGTTGGGTTCGGTCTAGTCTACGGAGGATCTGGTGCCGTCTTCTGGAGTTCACTAGCCAGAGTGACCTCATCATGGGTCATCTCCCCAGTCTTGGGAGCAGCTGTCTCATTCCTAGTCTACAAATGCATCCGTAGGGTAATGATGTTTTGGCATTCAATCTGTACTTATGAACTGAGTCGCTTTCACCCCAAGTAACAGGCTTCCGGTTTCGATGCAGTTTGTGTACAGTGCACCAAACCCAGGACAAGCTGCAGCAACAGCAGCACCCATAGCAGTCTTCCTGGGCGTTTCTGGAATCTCATTTGCAGCTTTCCCTCTAAGCAAGACCCTTCCCATTGCTCTCTTACAAGCATTAGCCAGTGGAGCTGCTGGAGCATTCATAGTTTCCAAGATCATCCACAAACAGCTTGGTCCTCTCCTAGCCAAAGCTGCCACCTCCTCTTCATCACAATCTGACCCTAACTCCGAACCTATCGGCTTCCTGTCCGACATTGCTGGACCAACTGGCACACAACTCGAGATAGTCTATGGTGTTTTTGGTTACATGCAAGTGCTATCAGCTTGCTTCATGTCATTTGCACACGGAGGGAACGATGTCTCGAACGCAATAGGCCCACTGGCAGGGGCATTGTCGATTCTTCACGGCAGTGCAACTGGTGGGGGCGCCGAGATTGTGATCCCGCTGGACGTCCTTGCATGGGGAGGATTTGGTATAGTTGCTGGGCTTATGATGTGGGGGTACAGAGTGATAGCGACGATCGGTAAGAAGATCACTGAGCTTACTCCGACGAGAGGCTTTGCAGCTGAATTCGCTGCAGCCTCAGTGGTTCTTGGTGCATCAAAACTTGGCCTCCCTATCTCGGCAACCCATACTCTTGTAGGGGCTGTGATGGGGGTGGGGTTTGCCAGAGGGTTAAACAGTGTGCGAGCTGAGACCGTGAGAGAGATTGTGACTTCATGGATAGTGACGATTCCAGTTGGTGGTACATTTGCAGTGCTCTACACTTGGATCTTCACCAAGGTTTTGTCTTCTTGGATAATACTGTGAGCTCGTCAGATTAATTTATTCTGAGAGACCTGATTACTGTTGAGTTTTAACCTTTAAATATATCTCCTTTACCATGGATGGCACATTGTATTTGGAGGAAATTTCTGAAGCATCTTATTATGGGTTTGTCCAGTCTTCAGGATGTGTATTATGATGGTACTTGCTGACAACATATGTTGTCTTGCAGTTTTTACACAACATGATGCTTAGTACTAAGACTTAATTAGTTGCCCATACTTGGATTGAAGTTCTGTGTTGTTAATTGCTCTGGTACATAGAGAGCAAACAAGAATATGCATTGCTTAATGAGTAGTATAATTGTCAGAATCGAGACTTTAAGCGGTTCTAAACTACTTCTATTTGGCCCCTGAAATCATAAAATTGGAAGTTTAAAGATTTAGGTCTGGATATTAATAGAGCATTGACTAGTAGAAGTTCAAGGCCAGAAGCTACCCATTAAAAAAAAGTCACAGAACAGAGAGAAGATTGTACTCCAAGGAACTTCAAAAATCATAAAGCACTAAATGGCATATAGTCAAAGTTATTGCAGTTGGTTCTACATAACATCATCAGAGACTGATTCTTTTCGCGCGAGAACAAAAGAAAAGCAAAACCTGCGTGGAACAAACAGCAAAAATAGACAGATGATTGAAAAGTAGTGTGGCAGCCTGGCAGGTAAGAGCCTGGAAAAGGAGGAAGGCAACATACCAGGAAGACATCAGTCCTTTTTGTTTCATTTTTGTAAAAGAAAACCAGTCAGAACTTCATTCACGGAGAGAGCTCCTGTACGGAAGTAAGGCTAGGCTCCCAGCTCGAACCTTTGAAACTTCTCGACCTCGGAAGAGGAGGGACAAAAGGTTGTCTTTTTCTAGACCTCACGTTCTTTGTCTTCCTCTCCGAACACCTCGACCACCTATCCTTTGAAGCATAGAAATCTCTTGCTTGGCAGACGTTTTCCTCCGAAATATCTTGTTCATCCCAAGTTATGTTCGCACAAGATATGGTGTCTTCATTGTCACAAAGTTCTGGCCTTTCTCTTGTCGTTCTCCCATGATGATGATGTCTTCTGTGGTGCTTCAGTTTCTCAGCTGTGGTCGATGAAATGATCAGGTATTTGTTGCCAGGCAACAGAATCTCTTCTGGCCACAGAATGGAATCTTCAGGATTCTGGAAAACATCTGGCCTAGCAACACGAGTCCCTGGATACTTCTCCATGACTTGCTGTGCTGGAAGAGCGTACTGGAAACTCTCCTCCCTCCCCCCTGGATGAACTATCCTCACAGAAACTTCCTTGGAGTCAGCACTGACTTCCACTGAAACTGAAGCTCCACCACCTGCCAACTCCTCTGTTATTAGCTCATGCTTTCTTCTTCTGGACTTTTTTCCACTATCCAGAAAGCAACAACAAGAACCCGTCAACATTTCTGCCAGCCTGCGATCCCCAGTTCGAGTAAGTCTCGTCAATTCTGTGCTAACTGAACATTATTATCCAATAAGAAGGTGAATATCACTAGAAGAATGACATTTGATGAAATCAAGCTACAGGCTTGGATTCCACGACCAACAACAAGAAGCCTGATCTTTGTCTTCTTCCTCACCAAACGTGGATATCAAAGCTGAATGGGGGAAAGGAGTTTGAAAAACAAAGTTTTCCTTCAGAAGGGACAATTTTTCATGAGCTGCTGGAATTTGGAGTGATGCAAGAAAAACACATCCTCTTGCTACTATCATACTCCCACAAGCCTGATAAAACTTGGCGCTCAAGCTTTTTCAACCTTCCACTAATCCAGTTATTGTGAAGAACAAAGCAGCCTTGCTTCATGCAAGCTTCGCTCACATTGGGCTTCTCCCAAAGGTCTAAGTATGCACCATTGGGGAAGAGGTTTCTATCCAAAAAATGAACAGTAATATTCGTTTCTGGCTCCAGACATCTATCATCACTGATTCGGTTCGATCCACCTTCCCCACACAGCATATCATAGAAGCTTGGCTGCTCAGAAAGGGTTGATGTGGATGCATGATTCACCACCTTTTCGATAGCAGCAATAGTTGGAGCATTAGAATGAGCAAAGTAGAAGCCAGAGTTCAGACGCCTAGGCAAGTTTATAGGTCCTGTTTTGCTGTATTCATCGGACTGGGCGACGAGAGTGGTTGGACCAAATGAGTGGAGATATTGCAGTGGGTTTTTGAACCAGTAGACATCTACATCACTGAGAAGTACATTGTAACCCAGCTTCAGAATATTCAGAACAATTCTGGATTTTACTTTTGTGACCTTCTGGAAGCATTTTGTTCCAAAGTGGCAATCGTTGAAGCTGATGTTACTTGGTGCTGATGGATCATGGAATACAGGCAAACCCTGGTAGAGAAGTTTTACAGTTAAGGTACATACAGCAACAGTATTTTGGCAAAGGAGAATGTCAAACCAGGTAAAATTGAAAAATGTAGCTAAATCAACCAAAAGAAGCTATCCCAATCACCATTCGATGGGGGTAATATATGTTCACACGGGAAAACTCAGTAGTGCTCCCTTTCGTTAAAGGGCTCTGTTACAGCCTTATGGCTTCTTGAGACACATTCCCTTACTCTACGAGTCATAAATGCAGCAAGGTTGAGATTTTTAGTAAAAACAAAAAGAATGAAGCATACCTGTAAAACAGAAAACTCAAATGTTTCCTGATCCAGAGCACAAATGACGAAGTTGGTGACCCTCAGGCGGCGTAATCTGCAAACCCAACTCATCAGCATGTCCTTGTAACTATATCCAGCAATTGCAAGCACAACTGTTTGTGTCTTATCAGCAGCTATTGCAAGCAGCAATTCCAAAGAAATTTGGTATTCCAAAGGCTGCAAATACCTCAACTGATCTCCAACCGCGCAATCCAGTAATGGCTTCCTCAACTTGATATGTTCAACACAACCCATCACTCTCTTCCTTTTCTGTGAAGCCAAAGCCCTTCTATTCCTCACTATATCTTCAGTGCCGTCAAGGACAAGAAACTGGTCATCACATTTTACAAGCTTTGCCAAGGTGGAATAGTTGGTTTCATGGAAGAGCAATGACCCATATAATGTACCAAGGTGTGAGTTGCCAACTGCCTCCCAGCTTCTGTTCTCCATAACTAACCTACTGTCAGTCCTCTCTATTCGATCGGGATTGTTAAGGAAGGCGCCTGAGATGACCGAGCTAGCATCAAGCACAAGTCTCAGTTCGGAAGCCACAACCTCATTAACAAGCCAGTGGTTGTGAATCCCCTTAGCAAACAAGAAAGGGGGGAGGACTCCATTGTGCAAAGGCACATTTCCTGAATTCCAGGCCATAAGTATACTCCTATCTTGGCAATGCCGATTCTGGCCAAGGATCTCCTGCAACTAAAAGGGAATTAAGAGAGTGGTGTCAGCATGCTGATTCAAGAGGGTTTCCAGTTTTCACTCTGAACTAATAACTTTCAATTCATACCTCATCAAGCTCCAACCTTTTCCCGTTCTCTGTAAGCCAATGTTGACCATCACCTCCCAATTTGAACGGGAAGAAGGATGTCTCTTGTAATGAAGCCACAAGAAGCCAGTAACCATCGAGCTTGTGAGCAGAATTCAAAGCGGGGACAAGATCAGGCAGAAGAACGGTTTGAGAATCTACAAAGACGATAATATCTGTGCCGAATGCCTCTGATCTTTCCACCATGGAATGGAAGAATGGCGTCCCGAGGAACCTTTCAAAAGAAGCACCAAGCAACAAACAAGTTGCCCAGATAAGCAAATTACTAACACCTCCAATGTCAGTAAACAAAGGAAGCAGCTTTTGAAATGATAGCTTACGTGAAGTCGATGGTGGAATCAACCAAAACCCGGAGTCCAAAGCCCGAGGCGAAAGAGCGAACAGAAGGGTGTTGGCTAAACAGAACAACTGTGATTTGAGGAGACAAACCAAGCCATGAACGAACAGCAAGGCGTTGCTTTGGACCAATGGAGGTAGTAGCAGAGAATACAGTGATATTTGGGTTGTTTGAATCCACCGAGTATTTTCCTGGATTAAAACCGGGTCTTGTGATTGCATCCTGAAGTGAAGGTAGCTTGCGGGTAGCATATATGGAGAGAACAATAAGCAAGGACCCGTATAACCAAATCCACCATATACCCACTCGCAGAGGCTGTTGTTAAGGGAAAAAAGCAGATGAAAAGTTACAAACTTTACGAAGTAAGAGACTAAGAGGGGACAACGGAGAAGGAACTAGAAGATAGAGGTGAGACCTTCATTGTTCTCTGCAACTGGGAGTGGCGAAAATCGGGTCAAAATCACCGTTCTTTTTCTGTACATGGGACTCTGAAAAGGAGGAGAGAAGAGAAAGACGAATTGCAACTTTAACTGAAAAGGAAGCAATAAATAAATGGAATGAGTAACGAACCCACCAGGCCGCCATTACCGTTCGCCACTGCCGACACGGAGAGTTGCCTTCCTTGTGACATGTGAGGATCGCCATCACTATCACGTCTCCCCTCCACATTTCATGCTCTCTCTCCTTTTAATCTGGTTTCCTCCACCGCCATGACCATTTGAGATCGGAGAAACAAAGGCAGAGAGAGTGCTTCTGTTGACTTCCTTTTCAACGTCCAGATCTCAGTATTGCCTCCCTTTTCTAGGCACCCTTTAATTGGCAGCCACTTTCAGAACAGAACTGTCGATCCTTTTACAAATCTTATTTTCTAGTTCCCAAACTGAACATAGCTGGCTTAATTACATAACATTGCCTCCAAGGCTCCAACCCATAATAATAACCCACCATGAGAAATGAAAGATTATTCATTGGAGTTAAACTGTTCCATCAAGATCGGTTAGAGCCTTAATCAGAAGATGCTAACGTCAAAGATGTCTTAGAATCACAGTCTGACTCGAGAAATGAAAGATTTTTTGAATCAATGGTTGAATCAACATCCAACAAGGGGTAACATAATAACTAAACAAACATGACACAGTTCTGAAGAGAATAGAAACAAAGACAATTTTACTATGATCATAATGTACATCGAAGTTCTGGCGTGATAAGCGCGTTAGTCCGAACATCCAAAGTCCTAACATCTATGCATTAGAATCGTAACTTCGAGTTTATTAGACCACTATTTGAAAGAGACAATCAACCACAACACCGAAGAGAATAGAAATGTTTCCTTCACTAAACAGTGGAAATCAATCAACCAATGACATTGTGCAACTTGAAGTCAGCTAAGCAATTCAGCAAACAACTTGAAGGCACAAAGTGGGCACCTCAACGCGGCGACTGGGGCAATTCTTATCGGGACAATAATCCTTCGACCAGGTCACCGGAATCCCTTTACAACAGATCGCACACCGACACAACGACGCCGTCTCGTCCGCCTCTTTCTCAACCCCATTCAAACCGGCGCCGTTTTGCGTTTCTCTTCCTCCGTCTTCGTAACCACTATTACCACCACTCTGTTCTTGTTCAATCTCCACGTTCACAATCCAGATTTTGCTAATCGCGCTGCCGACTCCTCCTCCGTTGTCAATGATAATGTCGCAGGTCGCGTCGATTATCTCCCAGATCAAAGCTTCGCGATCCTCGTATTCCATCCGCGCCGCCAGAGGCGAGCACTTCAGCAGCTGCGAGACGACCTCGTGCGACTTGTCGTCGACGCCGTCGAGAAACTGCGATTCTCCGATGTCGGCGACGGAGATGGCCGCGGGATCGGAGGAGGAGGGGTGAGTGAGCCTGAATTGGATTGTGGAAGGGATGGATTGGACCCGCAGCCAGAATTGTTCGTGGGTGATCTTGGGAGAGTATTGGATGTTGATGCTGTTGTTGGTATTGCCGCCGGCGGCGGCGGCTGGTGGAACAGAGGTTGCGGCGGTGGCGTGAAGAGTCATGTTATTGTGCGTGGTTTGGGCTTTTCTTCGAAGCGAGTTTGCGTGTACTTATAAGAAAAAAAGGCAGTGGGCTTGGCCGAATTGTTGTCCAAGGAGGAAACGGAGAACTTCTTGGGCTTGGAAATGAGATTTTTATTTTGGGCCTTCATTTATGTTTTTGCTTAGCCTATTGCTATTGCAGTTCGTTATCTTGTTTTTTCTTCCTGCAAAGAAAGTTATTTTTCCCCGTGTTATGGCGTCCAGAGTTTTGACCTAGGTTAAGTACAGTTGGTTAGTAATCAAGTTGATTTCGAGCTCAACTTGTTTACAAAATTCCGAATTTGTGTTTAACTCGAGCTCGGTTCATTAGAAGCTCACGAGATTTACATGAATTCGGCTCATCAATTTACTAGGGAAATCAACTCGAGCTCAAGTATAATATCATTTAGTTCATAATTTTTAATTATTTATTTTTTGTTATTTGATAATAATTAGTATTTGAGAAATTTATAATTTATAATTTCTCTTTTAAATTATAAATTAGACATATTCAATCACGTGCTCAAATTCTTAAAGATTATATGTTGTGAGATATATAAATTGCTAGTTGCTAGTAGTTGAGGTGGCTTGCTAGCCTTACTGTCGAGTCAACTCATAGCTCAAACAAGCTAGTTCGCGAATGGAGCTCCACAAGTCACCAAGTCGAGCCAAGAGACTTGACCTCCTTCCCCTGCAAAAAAGATTGGTACTATTAACACATTTGGTTCAATCCAACCACAATCTGAAGAACGCCGAACTACCTTTTCTCGTGGAGCAACCACAAGTTACAAACTTTACGAAGTAAACGAGTTAAATACCGAACTACCTTTTTCTCAAACAGAACGCCGAGCTGCTCACGAGCAACCCTAGTGACGAATGCCTGCAATTCTTTCAACCACAGAATGAGAGAATGATGTCCCAAGGACCCTTTGAAAGAAGCACCGAGCAAAAAACAGGTTCACCAGATGAGCAAAATACCTACAGTTTTTTCATCAAAATAGGTAGCAGGTTTGAATCCAAAATGACGATTTCTTGACAATCAATGGTGGAATCAAACGAAACCTGGGAGCCAGAACAACAGAAAGCAGAAGGGTGGTGGCTGAACAGAACAAATGTAGACTGATGAACCATTCTAAGCCAAGGACGAACAGCAAGCCTCTTTTTTGGATTTTAACCATGGCCATCAGCAATGAGAATTTAGGGGGACTGTGAAACCATATAACACGAGAGCCAAATTTACGAAGATACCATACCAACACCACACCACAAAAAAAAAAATGTCGCTCTATTTTCAAGCAAACGATGCAGCAACACATTATAACACTACAGTACACAAGTTTCCTGATCGTAACTCAGACTTACAGAACATCATATACATTACTCTCTTAGCAAGGAAATGCTAGAAGGAAAATTTGGGGTTCTGTGAATCGTGCATCATAGTTCTCTCCACCAGATCTGCATAGCAGAACCCTTACAAACAGATCACTTGTTCCATACATTGGCACCCATGCATCATCATCATCATCATCGTAAAATAGCCAGAATGGTGCTTTGGCAGGAATCATCTGTGCCGCCTAGCTGGTGATTTTGATCTTGACCTCCTTCCCCTGCAAAAAAGATTGGTACTATTAACACATTTGGTTCAATCCAACCACAATCTGAAGAAATTAAAAAGCTGGCTGATGCTTTTCACCTGGGTTCATAGTATGGGTTTGTATGTTCCTAAAAACACAAACACAATCTTAATCTACTAAGAAGAAATAAGAGCAACATACCTGGTAGTCTCAAGAGAAGAAGAGTAGGGAGAATGCCTGCGCTGAGAATGCTTGCTATGAGGTGACCTCGAAACTTGTCTAGAAACGAAAACACCCATCATACTTGATTTGTGAGTTAAACACATACAACTCTAAGAGGAGAAATGGATAGCCCTTTCTACTCTACACAAGAATCCCCAAGAAGGTAAGCCTTGCAGCTGCTACAAACACTAGGAATTCCACTCAATGAATTTTGATTACAGCACAAGTTAAAAACTATGAACTAGGAATGGAAGTCCTTGTACAATATTTTCTTCATATCCTGGCATTCAATCTTTGCATAACTCAAGACTCACGGAGACACGCTGCTATATTAAAAGAAAGGCCGAAGATCATGGCCTAGTCCCCAAAGGCAACAATATCAACAACTTGATTCTCACTCAACATCAACAACCTCATTCTCACTCAATATCGTAGGCTCAAAAGTTCTCCGAACAGTGAACAGCATGCAAACTAACATATGCATATATTGAAGTAAGAGCAGAAGTACGTGATCCAGACCACAAATCTCTGATAGTTAACCATCCTTGATCCAAGTTATGACGGTCAGAGCGTGCCAAAAACAGAGAGGTTAGTCATGCAACAATCCACGAGCATCTAGCAGATGCCATGAAAATTACCATGCAACCTTTTACTTCCATCCAGAGATTATTAGATGGTAAGAGAGGGACTGTTCCAAGGGACTTACCAGATGGCAACCTTAGAACACATTCCAAAATTAAGAAGATAAATCACTCACACACATTCTTTCAAATATTATATAATGGCTAGTAAAGTCGAAACATACATTGTATTAAATTGATACCTTCTTTTTGACCTAACAGGTGATGGGGACAGCTGTCTTCTTGAACGTTGCCTCCTGCAGACAAGGACAGAACTTTTGGCCTCAATGTTTAAATAAGCAAAGCATATTAAAATCAAGTAATGCTCAAATATGCTAAGAGAAAACCTTTTGGAATCATCTGATCCTTCCTCGTCACTGGAACCATCATCCTTGCTGTGTCTTCCCTTACTGCTGACAGAAGATGAGCGCCTTCTCTTGCTCCTCGACGATTCATTCCCTGATTTATGCCTCCCTCGATCTTCCTTCTTCTCCTTTGCTCTTTCCCTTTTTCTGCTAGAATCATCTTTGGCATCAGATTGAGAGGACTTCCTTCTTGACTCTGGTTCATTGCCTCTTTCTCCAATCACATCACCTCTATCTTTCGTTTTCATTTTAGAGCAACTCTGACTTTCTGACCTTTCGGTTCTCGAATGCCTTTTATCTTGTCTCCTATTATTGTCATCTACCTTCTCTTCCATGCTCCTATGTGCTGCCTCTTTAGTTATTAGGTCTTTACTGGACAAGCTTGTCTTGTTATCTTGATCCGAGGTTGTTATACTATCCACTGCCAAATAAGCATTGTCTGCAGGTTGCTTAGTGGTCTGACCACCTTCCCCAATGAAGTCAGAAATCAAAATATTTTCTTGTGGAGTAGCTTTCTGCCCAGAATTATGACTACCATTCTGTAATTTTCCAATGTCAGCCCCCCTAATCTCGTCATCATCATCTTCATCAGATGAATAATTTGCAAGACCTAGAACATTTCCAGTGGGAGAGCTGGCACTGGAGTTTTCACCACCTTCTGTTTTAGTGTCATTGACTGTTCTTGGGACTACAACATCTGCAGAAGCTTTGTGCGTTGACATTACCGAAGGAGATGACGATACCTTATAATTTGAACTGACATTCGTTTGATCAACTACAAAAACCAGAAGATTCACCAGCAGGGTTACAAGGTGGCGGGAGGAAATAGAGTGAAGTACAATATGTATAACACCCTGAGTGAAGAGTCATGTCAAATTACCTTCCACTGCCTGATTATCTTCATCCAAAACTTTCGTCGCGATCTCGTCAAATAGCTCATCAGTGACCTAACCAAAGAATTATGAAAATTATAAATTAAATAAAATTGGGGAAAATATAAAATAGGTAGTTTTTTTCTCAACAAACCTTTGACAGAACTTCAGTCAGAATACGTTTTATTTCCAGGTTTACTGCAGCAGTCCTAGCAGCTTCTGCTTCATCCTGTGAATTATGAAAGCCAGAAGATAAAAGAATTGAAAAAAGGAACATATGTAGATTTAATAGACATAACCAAATCAATAAAATAGAAGTGAAGCAACATTCACACGAAGACAGAAAAAGGAATGGACAAAATTAAATCCGGACCTCATCATCATCTTCTTCTTCAGTTGACCTGGAAGAATCAATGCTTTTGTTATCCCCTAGATCACCCTTCCGAAAAGATTCATCAAATTCTTCATCAACGATGGCCAGTGATCCTTCCTTAGGATTCTCCACAGAAGATCTGGTGATGACTGATGCAGTTTTAATGATTTCCTCTTTAAGCCAGTTAGGCACAGAAGCCTGGAAGAAAATGAAACCAATGTGAAAATGTTCATTTCAAATGGGAAGGAACTAAGTTAGAGAGCATACTGCACCTTTTTGGGGCGATCAGAAATGTTATGAACTCCATACCCATCACCTGCATAGCCTGAAGAAGGATGAAGTACTCCGCCAACTCCAAGGCCAAATGGTGCACCATTGGATGGAAGTGTTGACTGAAAACTTGATCCAGTAAAGCTTCCAAATGGTGGTGCAGCATGGCCAGAAGCGGAAGGCATAGCCACTGAAGGATCATACTGAAGAAGAAACAAAAGTTAAGCAGATAAGTAAAACCCTTTGGCGGTGAATGAAAAAAATAACACCTCAAACCTAATAGTAATACCTGGGAACCTGGGGGGACAACTGAATGATAAACAGAGCTAGAAGCAGCAGAATGGGTCCAGGAATCAACAGCACCAACATAACTGGATTGCACATGCGAGTCATGATTGCGACCAAAACCAGGGGCAAATTCTAGAGGTTGGTCGCTAAGGTTGGTTATTGGACCAGCCCCCTGGTTTCCATATGCAAAAGGCGGCTCCTTTAGATCTGATGGACGAACAACAGGTGAGGGTTGCATGTGATGGTGTGGTTCTTGAGCTGATGAGACAGGCAAAGGTGCGTGCACTATCTCCTTCGCATCTACTGTTTCTTCTGTACCTGTATTTAGGATTGAGTTAAGCAGAGAAGTCTGTAGACTACACCTAACTAGAAACCAATGCATCCCTCCAACATGGCCATTCTCTCTGAGGAAGTTATTGTGGGACACGAACCTCAAATCCAAGAGTAACCGAACTCAATCTCATACCACAAGGAAAAGCTCCAGAATATCAATATGAGAGTTGTCTTTTTTATTTTATATGTTATGAATAGTCTTGTTAGTTGCTTAGAATATAAACAATTAAGGCTGATAAGGAAACTAATAAAGAGAACATGTTCAGTAACATGTCATTCTTTGGCATATTCAACTTCTTTTATTTCATCCAAATTAGCAGCCAGAATCAATAACAGCGACATTTCTGGTTGACATGTTAATAAACTATCGAACTTTCAGGAGGTTCAGAAATTTTGCAGTGGAAAAGAATTCAAGATACATGAATGGGAATCAGGGCTGATCCATAAACTGCTAGGAAGAAAAATGAAGAAATGAGCATGACAAGGTAAAAGGATTCTGCAGTTGGGCACATTGCAGATTTAATTAACAGTATTTACCTAATACGTACAAAATAAATGTAAGGAAATTGAAGTGTTTTATTAGCAGGATAACAGAGATACCGAGATAATAGTTTCCACATTGGTTAACGCTGTACATGTTGCATCATGATGCAACAGCTGGATGTGTAAACAAACTATTAAGTTATAAAGAAGTATGAAATATGTACAAGATTCACTCGAAATATCAAGTAGGAACATTCCAACACAAATAGAGAAGGAGAACAAAATATAAGGCAGGAACTAATATAACAATTTCATCCCATAGGAGAAACTTCGAATACAAGTCACATGCAAGTGCAAATATCCCAAATGAATTATTACCTGGAAAAGAAGAATAACTAGAAGGTACCTCCTGCTCATGAACAGATGGACTTGTAGTTGGAGCTCCAGTTGAAATTGCCCCCGGAACTGCATAAGGTAGCTGGCCATCAACAGAATAACCCGGTGATGGCTGATAATAATGTGGCACTGGAACAGTAAACTGCTGATATCCCTGTGGTGCAGGAAACGCTTGTTGCTGAACTTCTTGATAATGGTTCTGCGGATACTGATCTTGATACCGGCCCTGCTCGTCGATTCTTCCGACAGGGTTAAACTGAGATTGTGGGTGTTGATCCTCCTCGACCTTCTTTGCAGCCCATTCTCTAGCTCTGGCAGCCCAATCCTCGGTGTTGTTGTGGGCTAACATAGTCAATAAAGACAGGGGCGGGAAGAATTAGTAGTGACACAGTGCAAAGGAATAACAATCGGATTCCAGCGGCAACACACCGAAGCATGATCAACCATTACAAACAAAGCTTGAAACTTCTCACACTAGAACAAACCTTGGTACTCAAAACCAGCTTGGTGATGTACCCAGCCCGATTTCCCCCATTCCTAAGGCCAGTAAACCAGATAAAAAAATTAAAAAAGAAAGAGGGCATTGATTGACAAGCCTAGATAACAGCATTAAACAGAATAGAGCACGGAGAGCAATTCGTCCTCCACGAACGGTGAAACCCGAGCTATTGAGATCCAAATCTAACAAACAAGAAACGAAGCAAAAATAACCAGAAATCGACCTGCTGCGGGTAAGGGTTCTGCTGCGGAGGTGGAGGAGGAGGGAACTGCTGGTTTTGAGGAGAAGGGTAATGATGCGGTGGCGCGGGATAGGAAGAGGGCGGATACGATGGCGGCGGCGGAGGAGCCCATTGATGTGGAGGAGGAGAGGCGGAGTGCGGCGGAGGATGGAACTGGAATTGGTTGGAATACCAAGGTGCTTGTTGTTGAGGATGGACCGGCGGAGGGGGAGGAGGAGGCTGCTGGTTGTGGTGGTGGTTGAAGTGGTTAGGATCCGCCGTTGACGGCGGGAGTGGTGGCCTCAAGTACGCCGGCGGTGGCCGATGCTGCTGGTAAGCGTCCATCTGTATTTTTGCCCGTCTCCAAGGGGTTTCTTTCCGGCGTTTCGAGGGGTTTTGTTGATTTCGTTGGCTGTTCCGTTTGCCTCCTCCCCTCCCACGGTTATCGGCGACAAAGATCCGTTCCAATTGGCCCCGCCAAACTTTTGGACTCCGGTAAAGCCCACTGGGCCATTAATATGGTCATCAAGCCTACTTTTCTTTTCCCTTGAAGTCAAGTCAATGCAGCTCAAGGCCCATTCACCAGATCCAAGTAGTGGCTTGAAGAGCACTTGCTAGATGTTTTGCTGGCTTGGTCGGAATTTTCTACGCCAATTCCACTATAATACGCAAACTATATTAAAATGACAATTTTATCATTGTAGGGGTCGTTTGGAAGTCGCGGTTGTTAAATAGATGTATTGTTGACGACGAGCTTGTTTCCGTCGTTATCAAGTTTGAGATTGTAGGTTGAATAATACGACGAAGATGAGTTATTATTACTACTACTCCTATAGGTGACCAAACATATAGTTTATCCTTCTTAATATAGAAAAGCATAATTGATATAATAACCAAACATTTTAATCTTAAAAAGACATTCATTTTCAAAATTCTTACATTTATAATACATACATTCATATACTACATCGATAACAATCACAAATATCAAACAACATCTAAAGACATAGCAAGACATGCCAAAATTCAACATTACATACTTAACAATTTGAATTATAATCAGTGGCAGAGCCAACCTTGTATTAGGGTGGGTCCCATGACCCACCTTGGCTGTAGGCCACCTAAAATAATAATACTTGTACACAATTCATAATACTTTTCTCAGTATTTCATGTTCACGATTTTATTTGTCTATCAATAAATTCCAGAGAGTTTTGTAACACACATGCATGAACATTGCATATTATATAAATAACTCTAGATTTCCATAAAAATGTGTCTCTAATTGCTTGTTATGAGTTTACTAATTCCTAATTTAGTATCTACTCCATCTTTAAATGAAAAATATGTCAGCAGAATATGAAAAAATATCATGAGTCATTTAAATATTGTGAGTTTTGTATCGTAATTCATGTCTTTAAATATTAACAAATTATTTTCTATATTTTCATTTTTAATTCAGACTTAGCGTAAATGAGATCCTAATTACGCCACTGATTCTAATGTCACTTATAGGAAAAAAAATATAGGAAAAATGATATGATTAACCGAAAGATTTGACACACTGCACACCTATAAAAATAGGCGAGTATGAGGTCTTTCCTTGAAGTTATTTTCCTCGAAAAAGTTGAGAAATTGCAATTAAAGGACTACAATAACAAACAAGAAATAGATCGAGAGTGAAGGCAAATTCAAAGAGCTTATAAATATTTCACATCTTCAATGTTGTTTGTGGAATATATCTCTAGCTCATCATTAATTAATACAAGAAAATTAGACCTTTTGAAATAACTCCCTACACTATTCTTCACCAACACCCATTCTCATAAACATCACGATCTTGCTGCCAATGCTTGATAATTGATATCGACAATTAATATACACAAAATGTCACAACCCCCCAAATTGATTTTGCCTGGAACCCCATTTTTCCTCTCAATCTTCAAGCTGCGACAGACATTCTTGCGGATTAGTGTAAAAATAGTCTTCATCCTTGGGCTTACCAGGAATCTCCAGCCTCCTCGTCGGCTGCCCCATTTTATCCGAATGAGCTTCCTTCACCGCGGTCGAGAATTCCTCCCAACTCAAGCCTCCATTTTTGTACCGATCAACCAGCCCCACGATAGCCTTCCTGTCAAGCAATATAGTCTTCCTGTGCCCTAAAAACCTATAGCCCAACAACAAGGAAAAACAACTTAAAAAACAATGTCATTGGTAATCCTTGTTTGATCCGGAATTCAGTTAACCAACCTTCTATGTCCTTCAACAACCTTGGCCATGTTCCCGCCATAAGTCGGTGCGAAAATGTCGGCCTCGACGGCAACATGGTAATCCAGTGCAGCCATCTGGTTTGAATGGTTCCTGAATGGTGCCAGGTCCGATTCTCGGAGTAATGTCTCTTTCTTGACCAACCTCGGGAAGGCTTTCCTCATGCTGGCTAGCCTCCTCTCCCCGCCATAGATATCTCCCGCCGCGATGTAGATCTGAATCTTGGGGTCGATGTCCAGTGCCTGGAGCGCCAGTGTTGTTTCCTCTGGAGTCAGAGGGCACAACCCTTCTTGCCTCACTTTGTCCGAGTCGATCTCCTTCACTTTCCACCATGGATATGCATACCTGAAGAAAAAAAATACATGGGCAAACACGGAAAAACGGCGTTCCACGTATTGTTTTTTCAAAAAATTTCACTCTGGGCTCGAACCTGGAGAACAAAGGTTATTTGTGATATTTTTGTTACTGTCGTACCTCATTGCTGTGAGTTCCTGGATCTCTTGAGTGGAGCATCCTTCGTTGCATCCTGAGAAGGCCAACATGTCCATCTCGTATCTGAGATGGAGAACTAGGAACTGGCCGTTTTGTTTGAGAATTCTGACGATTTTCTTGGCCAACTTCTCGATTGGAGGAGCGAATCTCAACGCCTGGTAGTTGACTCTGCACCTCAACTTTTGAACTTCCTCGGGGATGCCGTTGTTGGCCAATCTGGCGTCTGATTTTGTGAGTTGAAGGACTTCGAATGACTTAATTTTAGGTAGGATCTGTTCATAGAACGAATTAAGAAACAAACATTCATCACTAAATATTTCCCGACAACTCAAGTTTATTGACACCAACGAGTACTTCTTGACGGAGCAGAAAATGAATGGTTGAGTTTTCTTTGTGGAAGGGGGGAGACCACGAACCTTGTTGTAGTAATATGACATGTTGGACCAACTGACAGGCGCCATAGAGTATAGGGAGCCTGTATCAATGATCTTCTGCTTTGGATCTTCAGGCAGTTGTTTCAGTATCTTGACTTCATCTCTTAGAGATGCAATGAAGTAGTCCACGTTGAATATGTTAGCAAATTGGCTGCAAAAAGAAAATGCATCAGATTGAAGCATATTAGTTTAACCATATAAGAAACATGGTTAATTACATAAATAATATATGAATCTTTTACTACTCTTACATACATGAAATAGATCTTTTACTACTCTTACATACATGAAAAATAAAAAAAATATTATACCGAAAAAATTTAGTGTCTATTTTGTACTGAAATTGTTGTTTGACAATAGACGCTAAAACTGTCTATCGGTTTAAATTCTCAAAAGATATTTTTTCGATTGGGCCGTTTAAATTCCCAAAAAAAAAATCAATATAACCGTCGATATGATATGATTTCACAAACACAATAGAATCTAAAAGACGGGAGAAAATATTAGTATTTGAATTTAACGTACGAACCTACCTCTGGTCATTCCAGAAGGAGGTATTGTCGAGTTCAGGAACAATCAATGTGACATTCAGGAACCTTGCAATGGCCACCATGTCACATATCTGACACAAGCCAACATCCAAGTTATAAAAATTAGCGAAAAATAAAATTAAACCCTCGCATAATCTAATGGGTTCGATCAAGAATTGTAATATATATACACGATAATAATAATATATAGTAACGAAGTAAAAGGAAAATAAAATAGACTTACACCGGATCTCATCTGGTTTAATCCTCCATTGGAAGATATCATCAAATACCCATTGCTCTCATAAATCCCTGAAGAATAAGAGCCCAATTTCCAGAAACAACCAACCAGCTGCCATCAGTACTACCTTCAACAACATTCGACAACACAAATATATATATTACCGTTTTTTCACGACTTACTCTCGGGAGGAAGAGACTTGTAGAAATCTGCGTCCACGTCAGCACCTCCGGAGCCGCCCCGGCCGGCGAGCGCCATCAACTGAAAGAGGATGCAGAGGGCGAGGAACGCGCCGGTCAGGCGCGTGGCTAAGTTTTTGAACATGGCGATGCGGAGTTTTGAAACGACGGCGCTCTTCATCTTCTCGGCCTTGAGCATGTTCATGTAGTAGATCTTGTTCATCAGCTTTATCTTGCTGTAAGGCTTCTCGTCATCGGTATTTTCTTGGTAGCATGGTGATGATTCAAACTGCTTGTCGTCGTCGGCGGCGGTGGAGGAGAGTTCACGGTGGCTGAGGAGGCTGGGTTCATGGTGGTGGTTGTGGAGGAGAAAGCCTTCTTCCAACTGCTTGTTCAAATGCTCCATGGCGGTGGCCGGAGATGGATCAAAACCCTACGTGCGTGCACTGCAGCGGGCTTGGAAGGGATGTTGGGGAATGGTTTTTTTTTTTTTTTTATGGAGGGAAGGGAATATACTAATAATTGGAGATTATTATTCGAGCCAAATACAAACAACTGAAAATTTGTTTTTCGTCGTGTAATAGGAATTTAGTGTTTTTGGAAGTTTATGTGAGGTGATGTATTTTTCGGTAAATACATATAGGTTTTCTAAGGGGGTAAGGAAATTTATTTGGGATTTAAGGGTGGAGAGGGACAAATAGAGAGTGACACGAATTCAAATAGGTGAAGTTCCATGCGAGATTAACTCAAGTATAAGGAAAAAAAATATTTATAATTTTATATTCAATGAGAGAAGAAAAAAAAATCGCATATAAAGTTTATCTATGTAAATCATATTATGATTTATGACTGGACTATGTGAAATTTAGCAAATAGTTAAACAACGCACCTATAATCAGCGTAATTGCATATAGAGAGATTTATAAATGGTGTGATCGACTTTCAATTATGTAAGTTCTGGTGTTTTTTGTTTTTGGTCGTAGGTATCTGCAATGGGAAAATAGTTTGGATATGATAACATATAAGATCCTAATGAATAGGTGAGGTCATGTTACGAATATTGGGGGAGGGGAAACAATGAATGGACTTGTTTTGCCACAAACGATATGTGTAGTCCTATTGTACGATCCAACGATTTTCAATGATATGTAAGCTCTGTTGTTGCTTTACTATATTATTATGAGATTGTAAATATCATAAATTCGTTGTTATGGTATAAACATTACCATAAAAGACGCAAAGATTGGAGTGTGTATTTATTTATGACACATTCTTTTCCTTTTATGGGAGTGAATCATGATAGAATGCTTATATGCATGCATATGCTTGGAAATAAATCGATGAATGAATATTGAATAGAGACCAAATGCGTGCATATATATAATTATGTCAAACACAAGAAAATAACAATAATGCTTAATTAATAAATTCGTTTAGGTGGGGGGACGTCAATCATTGAATTTCATCCCATCTATGTACATAGCAGGAAAATAGGGACGGTATATGTACGAATTCATAACCAATTGTGATCCATCGTCAATTATTATTTATTTATTGATTTATAACGGGAGTAAATGAGATTTTGTGAGCACGCAACGCAACATTTATTTTAAATTTTATTTATTGGGTGAATAGTTTAGCCATCCGTACGTCGAATCGTCGATTGCTTTCATTTGCATGCAGTAATCAAAATTGGTAATTGTCAAACGTGTTTCCTTTCCACCATATATCTCTTTCCAGGTTTGTTTCTACTCCATCAATATATAACAATACAGTATTATGATGGAAAGGGTATGTGGGAGCATACTCTTTGCTCTGACGAACACTTCTCTTCTGGTAGTGGTAATGTCTTCTTCACGTCCCGGCGCCGGCAGAAAGCATTAGCCTACATTAATCCGACCACATTGACGATCAATTCATCCAAACGATCCTTTAAGTCATTTGAATGAGTCATTTGGTATCAAATGACTCGTTTGTTAACAACAACAAAAAATGCATTAGTCATTTGGCTCATACGATCGACAATTTCAAATGCATGAGTCGTTTGCTCCATTATATCGTCTATCAACGATTTTTTTCTTTTAGCCTAATTTCATAGGCGACGAACAGGACATTCCATCTTATTGTGTCTCCATCATTTTCTCATGACTCTAGCTCTACGTGTCATCGGAGTTATTAACCCGAATGTGAGACTTATTGAGTCGTTACATTTTATAAAGACATTTAATATTAGAAAGTATTATACACTTTTCGTAATCATATGTTTTGTTGGTTGCAAAATCATTTTGTTACGTGGTTGATTTTATGAGGATAGGAAACAATAATATGAAAGATTAAATGTAAGTACAAAATGGTAACATTAAACAAATGACTCGTTTACGGATGACTCTTCTAAAAACTGTTAAACAAATAATTCATTCGCGAATTCTCAAACGCCTAATTTAAATGTAACTATGTAAGCAAATAATATGTGGTCATCTACAAAAACCGGAAAGTGAGGAAAATGCCAAAGCGTTCCGAGGGATGGCAAGTACCCACCCATGGGTAATTATACCCAAACCCAAGTAGACCCATTGATAATGGGTTGGGTATGGGTGAAGTGCATATGGGTTTGTGGGTTTTGTAGATGGGTTTGGGTAAGGTATGAATATTGCTTTCATAATCTAAATTGGTATGGGTTGGATATGGATATCCATTTACCTGGGGGTGTTTTAACTACACATGCAAAAATTGAACCTATTTGTAAAACTTGAAAATTTTATGTACCAAAATGTAAGACAAAAAAAATTTAGGTACCAAAACGTAATTTTCCATCGATATTTTGAGGACTTATATGCAAAAAATATTAAATTTAGGTACTAAATATGCATATCTATTAAGTTTAGGTACCAAACTGTAATTTGTATTTGGGCATGGGTACAAACCCAAATTCATTTGTTATAAACCCAACCCAAAGTAAATGGGTATGGGTACAAACTACAAACCCATCAAACTATACTCATATCCATCTATTTGGATTTCATACCCAACCCAATTGGATTGGATAGTTAAAAACTCATGGGTATGGGCAAAATTGTCATCCCTAGTTCTGAGCTCTTTTGCGTCGAGTCGTTGTAAGATTGCAGGCACTCCCCTACTAGAATGTTAATCATACGAATAGCTTTAAATGCACTCAAACTGCGTCTCTGTCTGGGGATCCCCAAATTCCTCATAGTCCAGTATGGTAAGAGGCAAGCTTGGATCCAAACAGTGAGTTGCATACATCCAGAAATGGAACGTAACAAGTATTTAGATGAGAATATCAGCTGGTGTGAAAAGATGCTTGTGTGGATCAGCTGGTCGCACTTCCTCTTGCTGCACTATTGAGAATATCTGTTCTGACATGTGCTAATCTACAATAACATCAGGCACACACGGATGAAGTTCTTGAGTTTGAGTTCACACAGTAATAAACTTGCCATCTTTTGCGCTTGTTATGTCCACACAAAAGCTCGAGTAATTCTCTGTATAAACTGGCACGTCATTGGTCCCATCTGACCTTCCTTTTGTGCATATAAACCCTACCAAACATGAAACAGCTGATGAATAAAATGGCTTCCTCGTTCCTCCAATGTAAAAGAACCATAAACAAAGTGCTGTGTTCTACCTGTAGGCTCTCAGATTCTCATTTCACAGAGTATAAAACAAAGTCCTTCCATCTAGAGCCCAATCCAAGCTGACGACCCCCTTCACTTCCTACCTCCGAACAATCGATCCATCGCCCAGGTCCTTAACCCGAAGCAAGAACCTGCTCACAGCCATTAACATCGACTGTATATATGCAATGAAATTGTGTTCTGGCGAAACTCGACATGCCTCCACATGAAGTTAGCCTGTGATATCCATTCTCAGAACAGGTTCTCTCGATTTCCAGAGGGGACTTTCGCGGCCCCCAGAGGGGATCCCGACGGTAGCGAAAAGGAGGTTGATTGCAAGGCAACCCAACTCCAAAAGTGAAGAGTGAAGACCCTTCTTGGAAAGAAGAGCAGACGTCTAGTATGAAGGCAAACTACGGTCTTTCCCCATTAAAAAAATAAACTGAATTCAACGGTTCTGTACAGGGTAAAACGACAAAAGAAAGAGCTAGAAACGGAAACAAAATGAATTCCACCCTGCAAACTTTCTAAATAAGGGTGATCAATCAACAGTCTGCAACCTTTTCCCCAAGTTTCTAGTTGTTTTAGCACGTACTACATGAAATTGCCACTCTTCTTCTCAGCTCTTTACAGAAGCTGCTGGTTTTGCACTTGATCCTAGCTTGAAGCTGGAGTGTCTGCTGCCTTCTTGGGTGCCTTGAGATCATCTTCAATGTCCTGCAATTCGAACACATGTACATGTTAATTGGGAATGCAAGGTATGCAACGTGATGAGAGCTGGCCATTTTTGGCAGGAAGAACTTACTGAATTATCAATCTTGTCGAAATCATCTTCAAAGTTACCATCACCATCATTGCCAATATCTGAAGAAGATGGAGGAGACGGTTCAAAAGAGCAAATAAGTGGGGAAAGGAACATGGAACAGATTACAGAAGAATCCGAAAGGCAAAAGCAACAACTACCAATTTTGCACTAAAGAAGATGGTACCTGCTCCTCCATCACTATCCTCGAGATCACCCAAGAGAAAGGTATCCAAGTCCTGTTCTGTGGACACATTCGACTTCTTACTTTCCAGGCTCCTTTCTGCACCTTCTGGTACAGATGGAATTATAGCTGCAGTTAGCTTGCTTTTCTCCTCTTTTATCTGCTCCTCAGCTTTGCGCTTCAACTCTTCCATGTACTCTTGTTCATACCTGGGTTTCAGCATACATTCACGCAACATCAGCAAGCATTTGATGCTAAAAAGACTGCTGCATTCCAGAAATTATAGATTTGTATACAGAGGAAATGGGGAGACAATGCAGCAAACATTCCGAGACGTACGATCCAACGTGAGTGCTCACTATTGTGAAATAAATCCTCCAGAATCTCCTTTCTTTCATAACACGTGGGCACAAATCGTATCTCAATTTTGAGATTTGCTGCAAATAATAGAAGCAAATTAAGAAAATCAGAGACACTTAGGAAGAAAGAATTTGCGGAATACCACTGAATAATGAAAATCTCAGCATTTGAATCAGGTTCCGACTTTCAACATAGGAATTCGATATGAATGGGTTCAATTCAGCAACCATGTACACAGTCAACCTACGAAATGAATCCACATTCATACTGAACTTGAGATTTCATTATTATCTCCCCATTCCTCGACTACAAAAGCGGAATTGGACATGCAACTAGAAGCAAATAGCTCTTAGGCACTGCAATATAACATTTCCAGTCCAGAGCCTATCCTGCAAAATTCTTCTCTGCTCCTTCCCTTTTCATGCATTTTGATTTACAGTAGGAGCACTGTATACAGAACCCTTTTGCGGACTAATGAACTACGTCTATAAGCAGATGGGCAGAAGTCAGAGTAAAAGCATTAAAAGAGAAACCAAGACTAAGAAGAGAGTTATGTGTCATCTTAAGGCTCCTCTCCTATGATCAATTCAAGAAAATCCCCAAATCTTCTAATTCGCGCATTCACAGTGATTTCCCATTCCTCCAAAGAAAACTATTGAGAAGAGAAATCGAAATCATAATTAAAACAGAATTTACAAAGAAATCTACCTTAACAGTAGAGAGAACCAGAGTGGCGTGCCTCTCCTGCCACTCGTTA